GTCGTTAGCTCGAATGGCCGCACATCAGTCACTGAGCAGCGACGATGACTCTTCCAGTTCCAGTGGACCGGATGATAGGTGGACTAATTTTTGAAAATATATTGTACTAGACTTTGCTCATGCATAAATTACTTATCTGACATGAGATCTGATATAACAACGCGCTTTATTAATTCACCCAACCATGGCCGATGATGCTGTCCGCAAGAGTTATCATAGTTTCCTTGGATCTTTCATAAACATGAGAGCCTGACAAGTGTGCAGATTTTGTTATCCAGAGCAAATTTTTCTCTAAACTTCTGTCCAACTCATATTTGCTTAATGCTTCCTCTTTGTAATGCCCAGCTCACAGCAGTTTTTTGTTATGGAAAAACTGGAGCTTGTCCACTGCAAAATAAAGACCAATTGAGAAGCGGAACCTCCTTTTTCGAAGTCTATTTTACCCAACTTCAGATAGATTGGGGGAAAATTGTTCAGTTTTTTTTTTTTAAAATCCAGGATTATGCTAATTCCTTACTCTCCTTCAATTTTTCTTTGCTTAAAGAGAATTTGTGGGTGCAGCAAAAAAAAAAATAAATGGAAATGTGGAAATTATTTTTCTCAGCCACATTTTTCGTTATAATGGCATTTCAGATAGCAAGGCCGTTCAGTTAGTTGGTGTGGGTATCCCATAATGATGACATTACGGGAATGCTTCCACATGTTTGGCAATAGCTGCATCAAACCGTTTAATTTTGAGTTTGAATAGCACTTATATGAAATATCTTGCAAACCTTTCTCACTGCCATCAGAAACGAAATTTTTCAAGCATTTTCTAATTATGCGTTTTTGCTGTGTGACAGCAGTACAGAACACATATTGTCACGGGGTTGTCTATTTGTGTATGTGCCCGTAGCAACTTGTCCGCAACTTTCAACTCGGGAACCACAGAAGCTAGGAAGCTGAAAATTTAGGGGAACACCCACGTGTGACTCCGCAAATTTAAATTCATCTTCCCCGTACCCGCGGGTAACGCGTACGGCCCTGTGAAAGTTTTTTAACCACGTGTGACCCCGCAAATTTAAATTCAGCTTCCCCGTACCCGCGGGTAACGCGTACGGCCCTGTCACGTGTGACCCTGCAGATTTAAATTCAGCCTCCTCGTACCGTGGGAACCCGTACGGCTCTGTAAAAGTTTGGGCGGGTAAAATTATTATCATGAAAACTACGGGAGCTATCGCGCTGAAATTTTTTGGGCATGCCCCTTGCCCACATGTGACCCAGAAATTTAAATTCAGCCTTCTCTTGCCGGCAGATAACACGAACGGCCCCGTGAAAATTTTCGCGGGTAAATTATTATCTCGAGAACCACTGAATATTTGATGCTGAAATTTTAGTGTAATAACCCCTTGCCCACGTTCGACCTAACCTGTTCAAGTTCAGCGTTTTCGCGCTTTCGGGTATCACCTACAGCCTCGTGAAAGTTTTGGCGAGGAAAGTATTATCTCGGGAACCATAAAAGCCAGGGAGCTAAATTTTATGGTAATGTCTTCTGTCCACAAATAATCCTGCAGTTTTAAATTCAGCTTCCCAAGCGTCCGAGTATCACTTACGGCCTCGCGAAAATTTCGGTGGGGCAGTGAAAATCATTAGCAGGCAATTTTTCGGTGAACGGAATTGCACAAAACTCATGATCAAACCGGCTGCCCTGGTGCACGTCGACATTTATTTTCTTTTTTTTAATCTTCAAAAAACGATTTAAGAGGGCACAAGGAAACATATATTGAAGCCTATACAAAAAGCATTCAAGTTGTGGAGAGTATGCTGAAACTCGACCGACTTCGACAGGAAGTTGCTATCAACAGTATGCTTAGTAGGTTCGTTTAGCTTTC